CCGTTTGACTTAATCTCAGATTGAAGTATCTTTGTTTCATTTCAAAGAAAAATGTTTAAGCACATTTGTAATACGTTCCTGGTACATTTACTAAAGCTGACACTATCCTATTATTTTCCAAGTTCATGTGGCTGTGCAATGACATATAGGAATATACACTGTACAATTTATCAACATCCAGGATCTGAAATGTCATCTGAAGCTCAGTTGACAGTTTACCCCAAATATAATGCAACATGTGTACACATACACACTGTCCAGGAGACTCTCCTTCATGTGAACATGGTCAAACAGAGACATAGGTTATACACCAAGGTTCTACACTGAGTTCATATATCAAGCCATATTTGCACTGACAGAAAATACTGATTCAGTCTGTAATATATACAGTAAAATAAAAATATACACAGTGAAATGAACTCTCTTTACCATTTAACCAAGTTTCAGCTCAGTGAGTGAGTGAGTGGGTGGGTTTGAGTGAGTGTGAGAGTGAGTTAGTGTGAAAGTGAGTCAGTGGGTGGGTTTGAGTGAGTGTGAGAGTGATTGAGTGAGTTTCAATGTCACTTTGAACAGTATTTCGTCATATAACAATGTCTCATCAGCTCATGTGAGGTGAAAGCCTGAAGTGATGCAGTTCCTAAATGAATACCACTCTGGTGATTGGTAATATGTGATTGGTAATATGTAGGACTCGGATCCATGGCAGCCTCAAATCCGTGGCAGATTTCCAAATCCAAGGCACATTTTCAAATTCATGGCTAGTTGCCGTACCTCCCCTAATCTGTGGCGGATTCCCTACTCATCGTCATAAGAACATTTCAGCTCTGTAGAATAGGAGTTAATGGCATTTCATTTATGTGTTTCTAACTTACCCCTGATAACCCTGGGCCTAGATTTTCGAAGCTCTGTCAGTGCTAAGATCATCTGTCGATATTGCTAATGTTTTTACGACTATCATAGAACTAAGAGAGCTTCGAAATTTTAGGCCATGCTGATCTTACAAATCTTTACACGTCCCCATTTCGAATTCAGCATTTTCAGTTTTGTAATCTCACATATTTTTTCCATGTCGTTCCAAAATGTTTCTGCATTGGGATCTTTTGATACGGGTTTCATCTTCTTTGTAGGTGGCTCCACAATCACAAAACCATCATTTTCTATCATCAGGTTTCCATTTTCTTAGCTTTGAAGATTTTCCTGACGATTTTTCCTGCGATGACGTCATGTAACATTCGAACAATCAGACCTGCCACGGATTAGGAAACCCGCAATAGATTAGAGACCCACCACAGATCTGAGTCCTAGTCATTCCTACATATATACCATTGCCATGGCACTGACAAACCTTGAAAAATAATCAAATAAGCAAATTGCATTGACAACTGGACCACTCGGGCCTATGCCACCTCAGCACTAAGAAAGAATATTCATTAAATGAAGTTCTTTAAAAAATTAAAAATGTAGTCTTGAAGTCAGGTCATATTGTGTTTTACTTTGACGAAAATTCTAGATAATATATTTCAAGATTAAGCTTAAAGGTCACATGCAACGTAAAACACAACTTTGCAGATTCTGATACCTTTCGGTATGGACTTACCGAAACAAATCATCAAAAATGCAAATTCAACTTATAAAGTTGAAAAATAGCGCGTAGATATTCACATTTGACCGCCATCTTGGATTGTAGAGATGAGGACATTCACAGACATTACCTATATCATGTTGATAAATATGAAGTTTATTTTATAATAAAATTGAAATAATACAACTACAACTTTAATAAATTTATTTTATTTTTTAATGAAAATGCAAGGTTGTTGAATGGGTTAAACACGATATGTTTGTTTTGTTAATTAATTAATGACCATCAATCAATGTTGATTCACCGCCAACAAGATTGATCTATACTGTACCGCTAAGTGGCTGTGCTGACACTGAGTGAGTTCGCTAATCACGTCCTTAATTGGGTCTTGGGGGTAGTAAATCAGTTCGCTATAGCCGTTAATTCGCTACTCACGAGTTCGTTATTCGCGTATAATTTTAATGATATAAGGACTGTTGACGGGACTTTTAAATTTGTTCGCTATATCCGTTTGTACGCTATATCCGTGTTCGCTATATCCATGTTCTACTGTAGATATGTCGTTGTCACAGACAAAACTCAATGTCTTGTCTTATTGACACCTGTGTGTCTGCCTGCCTGTCTGCCTGTCTGATAATGACAATATTCAATACACAACTGCGACCACTGACCACATGCAATTTGAACTGAACACCAATCAGGCTATACACCATAAACAAAACGCACTGATTTATGGCCCGAGTTTGGTCTCTGTCACATTATGTAATTACACAGACAGGCAGGTGTGATACTTGAACACATGACATGTTATGATGTCTGTTGATTGCAAAATGTTATACACAAAAAATGAGCATGTATTTACAAAACCGAACATCTCTATATATACACACACAATGAGCCGTGAGGGCATCTGCAAATGAACCAACCGTTACACTTGAGTGCACACCCACCCGCTCTGACTGGGTTCGGTATCCCGGCTGCTTCGTTTCTTGGGAAGTAAACCAAAGTACACAATATTACACTTTTGATTTGCGATTGTACGCTAATAATTTTGTTTATATGTTTTTTCATAACCAGCAATGTATATTATATGTCATGAATAAGTGATAATTGTGTTTTAATTATGTTTGATTTTTTGGTTGCATGTGACCTTTAAGCTTAATCAGTCATAAGGTCTAGGTGAAGAAGCTGAATACATGTATTTACAATAAGGATGCCACGATACATCGATACTTTTTCTAAGAAGATACATTTATCGATACATTCAAAACTGTATCGATATTTAGTTTTGAAAGTATCGGTTTAAATATGTTTACGTATCGTTTACATTTTGCAATTGTATTATGTTTTTTGATGTTATGAGAGTTATAAATGATTATGTTTCATGCACAAAGATGGGAAATTAGAACTTTTTAGTCTCTGAGAATAAAAAATGTTGATCTTTTCATGGACAGTTATAAATTATGAAATATCAATGTTCAAAATGTAACTAAATTTACACAATAATGATGAGAAAATAGGTATCGTGATACGTATCAAATCGTGACATGGGTATCGTGATACGTATTGATTCATGAAACTTATGTATCGTGACATCCCTAATATACAAAGTTTAAGCATTTAGAACTTGCACTGGTGCAACCTAAAACTGCAAAATGCAAATGCAACCTCATATCAATGACATGTTCCCATTGCATGTTAATATCTTGCTGTTCAACAAACACAGACTTTACAGACGCTGTTCATGTCAAGACATTTCAAGAAGTAAGCTAATATGATCTGATCAGACCCAGAATAAATATGTTATAATAATGTTTTAAATCATCAGTACCAAAACTCAAGCACTATCTGGATAATTTTATTATTTAAGGCTGCACCATTTGCAAGTATGTTTCATTTCCATAAATTGAGCTCTGTTTGTGAAATGGTGTCTGACAATACATCATGGTATTAAGTTCACCTGGATTCTTTGGGTCAAAACATGTAATTTAAGAGATTTAAAGGAGTGAATATTGAGTTGGGTTTTATGTCAGTATGGCAAAATTCCAGCAATATCATGGCAGGAGACCATAAATGGGCTTCACACATTGTACATATATGGGGAATCGAACCCGGGCCTCAGCGTAGCAAGCAAATGTCTAAACCACCAGGATACTCCATCTCCATCCAAGGAAAGATTTTGAGCCTGACTTCATACATCAGACTTATCATGCTGACCAGCTGATGTGATATGTGGTGAATTGAGTTTCTGAAGGTCTATGAATTACCACAATCAGTTTGTCTGGTGGCATTGGGAAATATGTAAATTGATTTAACATGTCAAAGATCAAGTCATGAAATAGCATCTTGATTTATCAAAGAAACAATATTGTCCTTTTAGCATGTTTTAATCATCTTCAACCTGCAAATTCTTTTTGAGAGGTAATACTTTTGTGTTTGTTTTCATCAGTGAAAAACAACTTTTAGAACAAATATTTTGTGCCAAATGCTTCATTCACCTGTAGGACATCAACAACTGGCCGGACTTGACAAATCGTGTTATGGATATCATGAGCAGTGTCCTTGCCTTTGGAGTATGATGTCATGCAATCAGTCAAGTCACGGAGTACGACAAGATGTATAACATGTTCAGTTATCAAGAATTCCTGCTGGATATTTTCGATTGAAACATGCTAAAGAGGTGGCCATTTTCTCCAAAACGATCACAAATGTCATGTGTTTCTGAAAATCGCCTTTGGTTTCACCAGTGAATTGCATTTATACTTGAGGTAAAAAACTAAAGGGGACTAAGTGAATTCTGTAACTTTTTATTCCCAAAGTCATTATCCCTTCATAATATTATAACGAATTCCAGGCTAGTATCACTAAATAATTAGATGAGTGTGCAGGTAATATGATTAAACAAACACAGTCTGGTGTAATTCTTTGATATTGAAGCCCTTTCTTTGAACTGATGCAGATGTTCATTTCACAGAATCTCTCATGGGAATATAGGCAAATATCAAGACTCAGTCAATCATGAACAGTGTCACTTACATCAACCAAACAGAGAAACAAGAAGGTAATTCTTTTAGGCTAAAACAGTATTTGTTTATGGGTAAAAATAACGCCAAACGCCTCGTCATGAACAAACATGCCATAACGAAATTAGGAGATACTGTAATTTTGAGCGTTTCCTAAGTGTACACACGGTAAAAGTAATCTGTTTTCATAGAAATTGATACATCACATAATTCACCATTGTTTCACTTACTACTGTTACATTTAAAGTATCCTATACACTTATTTCGACAAAATCAGTTTACCTTTCTGTGTCAATTAGCCAACGCCGGCCATATTGTTTATGTGTATCGAATGGATGCAAGATTCTATTGTTTTGATTGGGTACAAAATGGGGTCAAAGTTGAGATTAGCTCAAAAGGTGAAGGTCGATTTCCAAGCACATGTTCGCAATGGCGTCGGATAGCGAGGATGATGTAAACATGGAAGGGGATGAAGAGGAAAGAGACGAAAATGACGATGAGATGCAAGAAGACGAAGGAGGGAACAGTGAACCAAGAGTTTACCTTCCGGGCGGGGAAATGGACGATGACGAAGAATTAGTCTGCGATGAATCGGCCTACATAATGTACCACCAAGCTCAGACTGGTATGTCACAGTCAGCGAAAATCACAAAAATATAATAACAAAATATCGTGGACACAATGGAACCGTTAGTTGTTACACTTCACTACATTTACTGGGATTACGTTATCAGTGAACTGGACAATCCGTGACCACGGAGACCGATACTCGTTTTGGACCGGAAACTGGTTCATAATCAACTGTACGAGTGAAACATACAGCATACACATTACTAAAGCTTTGCATGCCTGTCGTAAAACTGAAATCAAACACAACAAATGACTGAAAGTTTGGATTGTAAACGAATGAATGTTTCAGATGAATAATGAATGTTGGAAAAGTGAAACAAATGTTTGTTTTACATGAAACAGCGTAAAATGAATTAACGTTGGAAGTGGTCGAGTAAATGTTTAAAATGTGAAATAAATTAATGTGTTGAACAAATGTTGGAAGCATATAGTGAATGTAAAAGTGCTGTGAAAAAGTTGTTATGAAAGCTGCAGGTTTGAATTTATGTGAATTTATTGCTGTATAAATGGTTAGAAACATATTTTTGTCTTGTTTTATGATCTGTATTGATTAAAGCAATCTAATTTGGGAGGTCTTGCCATAAACAATTTTAATGGGTACGTGTCATCCAAAATTGACGAATGCTCCAAAGCAGGTAATAATCTGATGAAAAGAGTAGATTCGGGTCAGCAGTTGTTGCTGGTCATGAATCTCTGGATATGGATCTTCTGGGATTCCGTGATTATCATGCTAAATCTTCAGTAATGTTCTGTATTTTAGATACTGTTGAGACCAATATGAACTGAGTAAACTTATTCAATCAAAACCGTAAAATATGTAATTAAAAAAAACATAATCATAGACACATAATATGACTACATTTAACGTCCACGGTAAAGGCTATGGTCACAGATTGGAGCATTATAAAACTTTGTTAATTGTAGGGGTGCTTGACCAACTTAAATCTAAACTAACTGACCCAAGTCTGTACACCACACATGACTTTTAATTACATCAGGATGTACAGTTGTATATAATGCTTTGAAACGTGTAGACATGTTCTTGTGATGGTGGTGATGCTGTGACATAAAAATGATATTATTTCTTCACATTCTTCATACAAGGATTCATTTTCCAGTATTTGATCATGAAAAGGGGTAATTATATATCCATATAATGTCATTATATATATATCTGATCTGATATAGGTTACAGAAACTTGTTAAATGCAGTACCCATTTTACATTATAAACCATATTAAATACATGTTAATATGATTTAAATATTGATTCAGTCATGATTCTAGTTTCAGATAAAAAATAGCAGCAAAAATAGAGTTCTTGTTCATTTACCATAAACTTTCACAACTAAAAGGGACGGTTTGGTAGCCTAATGGTTAAAGCCGAAGGCCCGGGTTCCGAGTCCCCACATGGGTACAATGTGTGATGCCCATTTCTGGTGTCCCCCTAGTGTGATATTGCTGAGATATTGCTAAAAGCGGCGTAAAACTAAACTCACCCACTCACAACTAAAAAAATGTTATTTCAATATCTAATTTGTGTTGTAACACAAAGTGATACTGACTCCCATTATGTTACTGCATGTACATGATGTAGTTAACATGTTGAAAACATGCTTATTATGTTTATAGGATCCAGTAATGTTAATGCCTTTATTAATGTTTTGATTAATGTATATCTACAGGTGCACCATGCTTAAGTTTTGACATTTTGCGAGATGACTTGGGTGATGACAGAGACACATTTCCTCTGACTTGCTACTGTGTTGCTGGAACCCAGTCAGAGAGAGGCCACACAAACCATGTGATTGTGATGAAGATGGCTAACTTGCACAAAACGCAAAGAAAAGGAAGAGTCTGAGGATGAAGAAAGCGATGATGAGAAGGATGAGGAGGAAGATGGAGAAACACCCGAGCTGGAGACAGTACTGATGAAACACAGTGGCAACGTTAACAGAATACGAGTAAGTTTTTGAGGACAGGATTATTTATGGCGCCAGGTTCTCAGGATTGAGTTCTCAGGATTTTTATGCTCGAATGTACTTTAGGTGCAAGATCAGTATTTGTTTTATTGCCAGTAATCCTTCTGCATATCATTATGAAAACAGTTGCTCATTTTCATGAATAATAACAGAAAAATTTGTTGGATTTGTTGTAGTGTCTACTAATGTGTTATACAGTGCACAATAGTGTCATTCAAATTTTACTGTAGCTTCATTTATCTTTTTGGGGGTCGATGGGGTAACCCTAGTGGTTAAAACGTTTGTTCGTCATGCTGGAGGCCTGGGTTCGATTCCCCACATGGGTACAATGTGAGAAGCCCATTTCTGGTGTCCCCGGCTGTGATATTGCTAAAAGCAGCATAAAACCATATACTCACTCACTCATTTATCTTTTTCAGGCAACCAATACTGGACAGAAGTCTATAGCAGCGTCTTGGTCAGAGACTGGGAAAGTTCACATATGGGACTTGACTCGGCCATTAGATGCAGTGAAAGATGTTGGTGTTATGGCAACATACACAAGGAATCAAGAGTCTCCACCTCCCATCTTCACATTCACTGGTCACCAAACTGAAGGCTTTGCTCTTGACTGGTCTCCAACAGTGACAGGTAAAGCCTTGCACAAGTTGTCCTTCCGGTTTCCTGACTAACCCTGATCTTCAACCCCTGAAATCTTTATTATTGTTAATGTTTATAACCTTCATTATTTTCATTTTAAAGTGGGCTTTTGCTGACATACTGCAAGTAAGGATTGTTTTTAAAGAAATGCAAAAGTGAATAAACGCCACTTAAATGGTCCTGGGAACTGATTGTGTTGGCTGGTGAGACTCTGAGGTGGCCGACTGCATACCAAGTGGTGTTGAACATTGCTCATAATGATACACCGTTTTACTTCATCTCACAAACAATAATACCAGTTACTGATTGGTTCTAGATTATTGACAGGTGACCATCTTCAGCTTTTATCAACAAGCAAGCATGGCCTTCATTACTGAGCTTTCCCTCCATGCTTTCAGTTGATATGCTGAGATGAAGCTATTACTATTTTTTCACAATTATACACCACCTCCATCTTATTGTTTTAACCTAGTTAATTCTTTGCAGGTCGCTTGCTGAGTGGCGACTGTCACAAACACATCCACTTATGGACCCCGCTTGAGGATGGGACATGGAAGGTGGACCAGCGGCCATTCATTGGCCATACAGCATCTGTTGAGGATGTGCAGTGGTCGCCTAATGAAGATAATGTGAGGATGTACCTTCTTGATAATTAATGTTTCCGTGTAAACGTGGAATTGTCTTCCTGTAGTTGGTTGGTTGTTTGACGCCACACTCGGCAATATTCCAGCTATGTGGCGGTGGTCTGTAGATAATCGAGTCTGGACCAGATAATCCAGTGATTAACAGTGATCTGCTCAATTGGGATACAATGACATGTGTCAACCAAGTCAGCGAGCCTGACTGCCCGATCCTGTTAGTCACTTCTTATGACAAGCATGAGTTGCTGAAGATAAATTCTAACCGGATCTTCACGGGTCTGTCGTCCTGTGAAAATATACATGATGAACAAAAGTACAGTATGTTAATGAGTCAGCTCAGAGTGATGTTGGTGTCAGTTTGTAAGATATGGTGTGTAAATCCCATTTCATTCTTCACAGTATTGATAATTGTCTCTGTCCACAGATCAGCAGTAAAACACTTTGATTAAGCTACCTGTCAAAGTAACAGTTTATTGCAATAAGCATTGTACTGACCTGTTTTTGTTACACAGACCCTAAGTAAGCTATTGATGAACTTGTGCTGCGGAATAGAATTTTCTGCCCAAATATTTGCTAAATGAGAACCTTTAAAATATTTTTGTGTAATCAAATTTTGTTGGGTCCAGTAACTGCTCGTAAGATTTGGATTCATCAAAGTCCTGATCAGAAGTTAATGATGACTGCTTAGGAAGTTTGGTTTCTTGCAGCTAATGTTTCTGTACAGTGAAACCTTGTTAGTCCAGAAACACAACATACTGTTTATTTACAGTTCAGCTTGTCAACACCATATAAAGGGACACAACTCCATACGAATTGTGTTTTTCTGGGTTTCACTGGAAATGTCTACAGATTAACAGAGCTTCACTACCCCATGGCATTCTGGGTTAGAGTAGTTTCCCAGGTCAACCTTGTCCAAGAATTGACTAAACCATGGTGTGGTCAGTCCTGGTGATCTGGTTTATTTGGTGATTTTATACCCAGTATCATTAGAATTTACCATAAACCACCAGTAGATGGTCAACTCCAGATCCATTACATCTAGGTGTCATATAGCTGGAATATTGACAAACATGACATTAAACAACAAAAAGGGTTTGATTGTATATGATAGACATTGTATACTTTGTTTTGAAGGTGTTCACCTCATGCTCTGTTGATCGAACAATCCGAGTGTGGGATGCCCGGGCTGCTCCAGGGAAGGCCTGCATGCTGACAGTTACAGATGCCCATGATCGGGACGTCAATGTGATCCACTGGAACCGACATGAGCCCTTCATTTTGTCTGGCGGAGATGATGGGATGGTCAAGGTCTGGGATCTTCGACAGTTTCAGGTTTGTATCCTTGTATCGAACTGGGGTAGCTTAGAGGTTAAAGCGATTGCCGAAGACCTGGGTTCCATTCCCCACATGGGTACAATGTGTGAAGCCCATTTCTGGTGTCCCCCACCATGATATTGCTGGAATATTGCTAACAAAAGTGTAAAACTAAATTCACTCATTATATCGTACCACTGTTGTTTGTTGGTTAACAGTTTCATTGTACGTGTTGCATGTTCAGTATGTCTTAGCATACAGGTTATAGTATCTCATATTCAATGGAGAAAAATTTATAGTCTTATGTGTCTGTGTCTATGTTGGTTTCCAGCCTGGTAATAATAATAATAAGGTTAATGTTTATATATATTGCTCAGACAAAGGCAGTGTCAAAAAGCTGTGTTTAGCATTTGCTTGAACTGGTCGAGTTTGCATATGTTCTGGATGTTGTTTGGAAGATTGTTCCACAGTATGGTTCCTGCTTTTGAAAAAGATCTGTATGAGAACATAACTGTGTCCTGATTGCAGGAAGGTAAAGCAGCTGCAACATTCAAGCACCATTCGGCACCTGTGACGTCGGTAGAGTGGCATCCAAAAGACAGTTCTGTGTTTGCTGCGTCAGGGTCAGATGACCAGGTGTCGTTGTGGGACTTGAGTGTGGAACGTGACAAGGAAGTAGCAGGGGCCACAGGAGCTGTGGCAGGAGAGGCAGGGGAACCGGATGTGCCCCCTCAGTTGTTGTTCATTCACCAAGGTCAGACAGACATTAAGGAGGTTCACTGGCACCCTCAATTACCGGGAGTGATCATCAGTACAGCTCACAGTGGATTCAATATATTCAGGACTATAAGTGTGTGAAATGAGAGGGAGACAATAAAACTGAAACGTGATATTTTGTTCTTTTCTTCTTGTACCATGACAGTGTAAAATGCTGTATTATTTATACAATTCCACATCCATCTAATCATCTGCCTTCATAAAGGCACTCATCCTCAAAAACGTTAGGCACAAACTCAGCTGGTCAGCACATGATAAGCACAGAAATATGTTCTATGTCAGTCCTATATATAGGTTTATGTTATCTTTGCCATGGACTGTAAATTAACTTATTTGTAATGTCACGAATATCATGATCATTTTGCACAGCCTCTCCTGTAGACAAAGAAGGTGGTCCCCAAAATTTGAAAACATTTCTACTAAATAATTTTCAAGTTATTGGTTGAACAAAAATGTCAGGGACATATGGAAAACGAGAATTCCTTGGTATAACTATATACCTTTTTCAGGTGGTATAAAAAATACAATGCATATTATCGGAGTAAAAATTATATTTTCTCAATGGAATACTTCATAATCTTCAATAAATATCAATAACTTTGATAAATAACAAGTGTGTGTAGACATGGTAGAGTGAGTGAGTGAGTGATTGCTGCAAGTCATCTCATGCAACCGAAGCCTAATGTTCAGACAACAAGGATCAACTTCACAACCTCTACCCATAAGTTTGGGCATCATTGCAACAACCATTTAGAAAAGCTATTTGGGTACCCAATTGACTGCTCATATCTAAATGAAAGACTATGCGCACAATAATTTGATGGTAGGACTTAAAGGAAAACGTGCTTTGCATCACCATTTGATTGTTAAAGCATTTGTCATTTTCTCCACCTCATGATATTTGGTATGCAGCATCTGTTTGGCTTTCTCAGTGTCACTACCACCCAGCCATTCTGTGTACAGCTTATTTATACTCTCCTCACAGAAAGGATCAACAGTCTTTTCCGAGTTGTAGAGTTCATTGACTTTGTTCAGTCTTTCTTTGGCACTGTCACCCTCCTGTTTGATCTGTCCACCACCATTAGTGCACCCTGAGGGACACGCCATGATCTCCACAAAGTCATAGGGACATTTCCCTCTCTTTACTTTCTGAACAATATTCTGAATGTTCCTGAAGCCATACGCCAAGGCCATCTTCAGTGGGGGCTTGTCGGGCACCTGTAACAATACTTCCTGAAAGTCCTGATTCCTGAAAGGAGAACAAGTAAAGTGTTATTATGTATTTGTTCAGAATAATACTACTGGGAGTGGGAATATTCACTTCAAATTGTGACAATTAACAGAAGATGATAAACATGATCTAAGTTTATGCTGTCACTAAATGCCTAACCTTTGCTGACAACATCTTCCAAATGGTATCTCCTGGCATTACTAGCCTTTCTGAGCATCTTGTACTACACATTCCTAGGTCACTGTACTTCACCTTAAGCACCAGCATGTATTCCACCTACCTGAGCACACTCTGTACCTACACAAAAACCTTGTACTGCTGTGGCATCATGTACCCTATCTACATGTGTACCTTGTACCACCTTCTGTAAACCTGTGAAGATCCGGGTTAGAATTGATCTTCAGTAACCCATGTTTGTCGTAAGAGACAACTAATGGGATTGGGTGGTCAGGCTTGTTGACTTGGTTGACACATGTCATCGGTTCCCAGTTGCGCAAATCAATGTTCATGCTGTTGATCACTGGATTCTCTGGTCCAGACTCGATTATTTACAGACCGCCGCCATATAGCTGGAATATCGCTGAGTGTGCGTAACACTAAACTCCCTCACTCCATCTTCTGTACCTTGTACTGCACCTTGAACTCAACCTGATGTTGCAGAATGTAAACCATCTATGACAGCACCGTGTTCTCCACCAGCTGTAGCGACTTGTACTCCCACCTACTTCAGCACCTTGTACTCCCACCTACTTCAGCACCTTGTACTCCCACCTACCTGAGCACCTTGTACTCCACCTACCTGAGCACCTTGTACTCCCACCTACCTGAGCACCTTGTACTCCCACCTACCTGAGCACCTTGCACTCCCACCTACCTGAGCACCTTGTACTCCCACCTACCTGAGCACCTTGTACTCCCACCTACCTGAGCACCTTGTACTCCCACCTACCTATGCACCTTGTACTCCCACCTACCTGAGCACCTTGTACTCCCACCTACCTATGCACCTTGTACTCCCACCTACCTGAGCACCTTGTACTCCCACCAACCTGAGCACCTTGTACCTCCCACCTACTTCAGCACCTTGTACTCCCACCTACCTGAGCACCTTGTACCTCCACCTACTTCAGCACCTTGTACTCCCACCTACCTGATGCACCTTGTACTTCCACCTACCTATGCACCTTGTACTCCCACCTACCTGAGCACCTTGTACTCCCACCTACCTATGCACCTTGTACTCCCACCTACCTGAGCACCTTGTACTCCCACCTACCTGAGCACCTTGTACTCCCACCTACCTATGCACCTTGTACTCCCACCTACCTATGCACCTTGTACTCCCACCTACCTATGCACCTTGTACTTCCCACCTACCTATGCACCTTGTACTCCCACCTACCTGAGCACCTTGCACTCCCACCTACCTATGCACCTTGTACTTCCACCTACCTATGCACCTTGTACTCCCACCTACCTATGCACCTTGTACTTCCCACCTACCTGAGCACCTTGTACTCCCACCTACCTGAGCACCTTGTACTCCCACCCACCTATGCACCTTGTACTCCCACCTACCTGAGCACCTTGTACTCCCACCTACCTATGCACCTTTGTACCTCCCACCTACCTATGCACCTTTGTAATTCCCACCTACCTATGCACCTTGTACTCCCACCTACCTGAGCACCTTTGTACTCCCACCTACCTATGCACTTTGTACTCCCACCTACCTATGCACCTTTGTACCTATGCACCTTGTAATTCCCACCTATGCACCTTGTACACCTACCTATGCACCTTGTACTCCCACCTACCTGCACCTTTTGCACCTCCTACCTGCACCCCCACCTACCTGAGCACCTTTGTACTCCCACCTACCTATGCACCTTTGTACTCCCACCTACCTGAGCACCTTGTACTCCCACCTACCTATGCACCTTGCCCCTCCCACCTACCTATGCATGCACCTACCTATGCACTCCTCCCACCTACCTATGCACCTTGTACCCTCCTGTACCTTGCACCTACCTGAGCACCTTTGTACTCCCCTACCTATGCACCTGCACCTTTTACTCCCACCTACCTATGCACCTTTGTACCTCCTCTCAGCACCTTTCCCACCTACCTGAGAGCACCCTTGTACTCCCACCTACCTATGCACCTTTGTACTCCCACCTACCTGGAGCATGCACCTTGTACTCCCACCTACCTACCTTGCACCTTGCATGTACTCCTACCTACCTGAGCACCTTGCACTCCCACCTACCATGCCTTGTACTCCCACCTACCTGAGCACCTTGCACTCCCACCTACCTGATGCACCTTGTACTCCCACCTACCTATGCACCTTTGCACCCTTGTACTCCCACCTACCTATGCACCTTGTACTCCCACCTACCTATGCACCTTGTACTCCCACCTACCTATGCACCTTGTACTCCCACCTACCTATGCACCTTGTACTCCCACCTACCTATGCACCTTGTACTCCCACCTACCTGAGCACCTTGTACTCCCACCTACCTATGCACCTTGTACTCCCACCTACCTGAGCACCTTGTACTCCCACCTACCTAGCACCTTGTACTCCCACCTACCTATGCACCTTGTACTCCCACCTACCTATGCACCTTGTACTCCCACCTACCTATGCACCTTGTACTCCCACCTACCTATGCACCTTTGTACTCCCCACCTACCTATGAGCACCTTTGCATTCTTCCCACCTACCCATGCACCACCCCACCTACCTGAGCACCTTGTGCACTTCCCACCTACCTGAGCACCTTTGTACTCCCACCTACCTGGAGCACCTTTGTACTCCAACCTACCTATGCACCTTTGTACCTCCCACCTACCTATGCACCTTCAGTACTCCCACCTACCTATGCACCTTGTAACTCCCACCTACCACCTTTGTACTCCCACCTACCTATGCACCTTTGTACTGTGACTCCCACCTACCTATGCACCTTTGATTCCCACCTACCTGAGAGCACCTTTAATGCACTCCCACCTACCTGAGCACCTTTGTACTCCCACCTACCTGGAGCACCTTTGTACTCACCAACCTAACCTGATGAGCACCTTTGTACTCCCACCTACCTGAGCACCTTTGTACTCCCACCTACCTGAGCACACTTTGTACTCCCACCTACCTATGCACCCCTGCATTCCCACCTACCTATGCACCTTGTACTCCCACCTACCTATGCACCTTGTACTCCCACCTACCTATGCACCTTGTACTCCCACCTACCTGAGCACCTTGCATCTCCCACCTACCTGAGCACCCTTGTACCTCCCACCTACCTGAGCACCTTGTACTCCCACCCCACTCATGCATTCCCACCTACCTGAGCACCCTCAGATTCCCACCTACCTATGCACCTTTGTACTCCCACCTACCTATGCACCTTTTGTACCTATGCACCTTTGTACTCCCACCTACCTGAGCATGCACCTTGTACTTCTACCCTACCTTCATGAGCACCTCAGTACTCCCACCTACCTATGCACCTTTGTACTTCCCACCTACCTGAGCACCTTTGTACTCCCACCTACCTGAGCACTTCTACCTACTACCTATGCACCTTTGTACTCCCACCTACCTTATGCACCTTTTGTACTCCTACCTTCACCAACCTATGAGCACCTTTGTACTCCCACCTACCTGAGCACCTTTGTACCTCCCACCTACCTATGCACCCTGCATACTCCCACCTACCTATGCACCTTGTACTCCCACCTACCTATGCACCTGTACTCCCACCTACCTGAGCACCTTGTACTCCCACCTACCTATGCACCTTGTACTCCCACCTACCTGAGCACCTTGCACTCCCACCTACCTATGCACCTTGTACTCCCACCTACCTGAGCACCTTGCACTCCCACCTACCTATGCACCTTGTACTCCCACCTACCTATGCACCTCTTTGTACTCCCACCTACCTATGCACCTTTGATTCCCACCTACCTGAGCACCTTTGTACTCCCACCTACCTATGCACCTTGTACTCCCACCTACCTATGCACCTCAGCACCTTGTACTTCCCACCTACCTATGCACCTACTCCTACCTACCTATGCACCTTTGCACTCCTTGCACTCCCACCTACCTATGCACCTTGTACTCCCACCTACCTGAGCACCTTGTACTCCCACCTACCTATGCACCTTGCACTCCCACCTACCTATGCACCTTGTACTCCCACCTACCTGAGCACCTTGTACTCCCACCTACCTATGCACCTTGTACTCCCACCTACCTATGCAGCACCTCTCCCACCTACCTATGCACCTTTGTACTCCCACCTACCTGATGCACCTTTGCACTCCCACCTACCTATGCCCTTTGTACTTCCCACCTACCTGAGCACCTTGTACTCCCACCTACCTGAGCACCTTTGTACTCCCACCTACCTATGCACCTTGCACCTCCCACCTACCTGAGCACCTTTGTACTCCCACCTACCATGCACCTTTGCACTCCCACCTACCTATGCACCTCAGATTCCCACCTACCTGAGCACCTTGTACTCCCACCTACCTATGCACCCCACTTACCTATGCTCCCACCCCTACCTGAGCACCTTGTACTCCCACCTACCTATGCACCTTTGTACACCCCACCTACCTATGAGCACCTTGTGCACCTCCCACCTACCTGAGCACCTTGTACTCCCACCTACCTGAGCACCTTCAGACTCCCACCTACCTGAGCACCTTGTACTCCCACCTACCTATGCACCTTTGCAGACTCCCACCTACCTGAGCACCTTGCACTCCCACCTACCTATGCACCTTGCACTCCCACCTACCTATGCACCTCACCTCAGATCTCCCACCTACCTGAGCACCTTGCACCCCCACCTACCTATGCACCTTTGTACTCCCACCTACCTGAGCACATTGTACTCCCACCTACCTGAGCACCTTTGCACTCCCACCTACCTGATGCACCTTGTACTCCCACCTACCTGAGCACCTTGTACTCCCACCTACCTATGCACCTTGTACTCCCACCTACCTATGCACCTTGTACTCCCACCTACCTGAGCACCTTGCACTCCCACCTACCTATGCACCTTGCACTCCCACCTACCTGAGCACCTTGTACTCCCACCAACCTGATGCACCCTTGCACTCCCACCAACCTATGCACCTTTGCACTCCCACCTACCTATGCACCTCCCACCTGTACTCCCACCTACCTGAGCACCTTGCACTCCCACCAACCTACCTGAGCACCTACCTATGCACCTTTGACTCCCACCTACCTGAGCACCTTGCACTCCCACCTACCTATGCACCCTATCCCACCTACCTGAGCACCTCCCACTCCCACCTACCTAAGCACCTTGTACTCCCACCTACCTATGCACCTTGTACTCCCACCTACCTGAGCACCTTGTACTCCCACCTACCTGAGCACCTTGTAGTCCCACCTACCTGAGCACCTTGTACTCCCACCTACCTGAGCACCTCGTACTCCCACCTTACCTATGCACCTCGTAGTCCCACCTACCTGAGCACCTTGTACTCCAAATTACCTGAGCACCTTGTACTCCAGTTGCTGTAGCACTTTGTATTCTATGTACTTGAGCACCCTGTACTACACACCTCTTGTAGCAGGATGTATACCACCTACTGCTCCACCTACCTGAGCACCTTGTACTCGACTTGCTGGAGCTCCTGGTTGCCTAGTTCCCGGGCCGCATGCCTCACAACCATCTCCAGATATCCCCCGGAACCTCCTCCAGGATGACTTGCCAGTTCATCCTCTCCCAGGCTGTTGCTGAGCCTGAGAAGTGAAACACTGAAATGGTCATCTATTTCAAAGGCAGCAAACTTGTGGTACTCAAATGAAACCAAAAAAAATTATGTTTATACATACTTTTTTTTATGTATAAAGTATTCACAACATGCTTTGGGGGAAAAGGGCGACAAAATAAAGAATTTGATGTGAATACCACGAATAAAATATCAACTTAAATGTTTTGTCATAACAAGTTTATGATAAAGCATTAAACACTTGAACAAACTGCTGAAAAAGATATAAAGGTGATTGCATGTTTATAAATCACGGGAACGTGTTCCTCAAAATTAGTCGGTTCTAACCATTCAACTTTGCACAATCAGTTTGCTTAATTACTGATTGTTACCAGTTGCTACTTTTACCTGTATTGTCTAAATGATTTGAAATTTCAAAATCTATATAATGTATCAAAAGAGAATGTATCAACCTCGTAAAAAATATGTACCATAAATTTGTCACTAAAGTACTGTCGGAAATAGAAACAAGCATTGTCACTAAGGTGACATAATCCCCCGCTGCAAATTATCAAATCAAACTTATAAAGTAATGAAAGTTTAAGTTAAATGTCAACAAAAACATGACCAGTCAACCTCTCTTGATATCTTGCTCTTTAGGTGTTCAAACACACACATATTTTCAAGACTGACTTTGACCTTGACATGAATGTCATAGTGTATGAAATATGCAAAAATAGTACTAAAGAAATTGCTTATTGAAAAACATTTAAGGGAAGTCTTGAAGGTCTGAAGAAAATCCAGTGAACCGTTCTTGAAATATCTTGCTGACAATTCAGGTTCAGATGCTGAAATCTTCAAAGTGTCGCTGTGACCTTGAAAATTAAGTGAAGGTCACCAAAATCGACTGCGCCCTGCGCCTACCCTGGATGAAGCTTGGTGTCAAATATGAAGAAACTCCAGTGAATGGTTCTTGAGGTATCTTGCCGACAAGCATAACCTGCAGCTTAATATGCTGAAATCTTCAAAGTGTCTCTGTGACCTTGAAAATTAAGTGAAGGTCACCAAAATCGACTCGGCCCTGCACCTTCCCTAGATAAAGCTTGGTTTCAAATATGAAGACAATCCAGAGAACGGTTCTTGAGATAGCTTAACATGCAGGTTTACATGCTGAAATCTTCAAAGTGTCGCCATGACCTTGAAAATGATGTGAAGGTCACCAAAATCGACTGGGCCCTGCGCCTTCCCTAGATAAAGCTTTGTATTGAATATGAAGAAAATCCAGTTAACGGTTCTTGAGATAGCTTAACATGCAGGTAAAATGTGAAAGTCCCCTTGTGACCTTGAAATGAAGTTCGGCCTAACTACAAGTCTCAGTGGTAGGGACATAAGAAATGTAGAAAAAGGACTTTACTGAGGAGAGATTAGTGCAGAAATGAGCAATGCGGTTTTTTCTAAGTCCAAAGCGATTTATTTCGAACAGACCATGGCTTTATGCAAATTGGTGTGTGACAATATTGTATTACAAAGGACACTTTTTAAATGCCCAATTTGAAATTAGACGTAGCTTCATTATAGGCTTAAAAAATAATAACTTTCATGCTAAAACTATTAAGGATGTAGCTACCATGGAGTCTCACTGTCACTATAAAAAGAAACAGATAGGAGGGTTTGTCTCAAAGCAAACCCTGGACGGGTGTCGCAGACGATCGTTGGGGTCGGGCTTGGGCATAGAGATATCAGCTAAGATAAGATCATCCTCTATTAGGGCAATTATACTGGGGAAGTACACGGCATGTCATAATAATTTACAAATAATATCCAGTCCTGTCGATCTTCGCGATCGGGTAGTCATGCCACCTAATACATTCAATACGATGCGTTTCTATGGTTATCAGGTATCATACTCTTTTACATATCTCAACATAAACTTCATGAAAGAAAGACACGTAAGATGTTAATCAAGAGATGAGGCATAGTCAACACACATGAAAAAGCACAAAACATCTTTGAGATGACCCCTTGTGCCTGTAGGCAGCATTGCATTTTATGCCAGGTGAGTCGACGGTCCGTCGTCATACCTGGCTGAGCGACCAAATTGCCAGTCTGATAGTCTGATCTATTGTTTTCAGCAGCTATTCGTATTTTTTCTAAGTTTTGCCCGATTTTACGAGTAAACATGCTTTTCTGGATATTCTATTACCCATCCCACTGAATGCCAAGTTAGGCTGAAGTGGGTTATTTCGACATTTGCTATTTGCAGTTGTGTAAATTTTAGGGATACAGAGTAACAGCTTAAAATCAGTTTTTTTCTATTTCCGACAGTACTTTAATGTCATTGTCAAATGAGGCTTACAGTGTATCGATCGACTGGCCTTCTACATCTGACAGTGCTACTCCCTCCTTCTCCAGCATCTTCTCCACCTCTCCTGACGTGATAACGCAGTCTACGTCGCGGGTCTTGTACATGTCGTTGTAGAAGTCAGCACGGGATGCCTCCAGCTTCTTATCAAAACATGGCATCACTGTCACATGATAGATCTTGTCTGGGTGCAAGTTGTGCATAGAGGCAAAGTGGTCTTTGACCAGCGACCCCATGATCTGTTGTGGTGACTTTGTGGAGCTGATGTAGGGGAGGATGTATGAGCCATGTGTCTTCTCAGCATAACAGATCCAGCCTTGAGTCAAATATTGAGAGAACTCTAATGCTGCTTTGAACAATATATCTGGATATAACACATCTTAACAGCTTCAATACAGGGAAGAAAGCCTGAACTGATTAACTGTAGGCTTTCTTCCCATAGACATCTACCACTTTGGTGAAACCCAAAGGCATGGATACAGCGCTTACAAAACCTAGAAACATTCAGGGTGAATCTGGAATTTCAAACCACAATCACTTTAAGAAATGGATTAAGAACATTTCTTCACAATTCACCTCTGGTTATCTGTAAGTTGTCACCTGTTTGACAGTATTACTTACTAATACAGGCATTCAAACCCGCAATCATAAGATTCTGGTGTGACCAAGGAACGTAGTGTCATGTCTGTGTAATGATAAATCCACAGCAAATGAATCCACCTTTACAGGGGTTCCTCTAAAACGTTCTCACCAGGACATGCTGATGCCAACATGGGGATAGCCTTCTTGTTCAGTTCAGATTCCTTGTACCTTCTTATAAACTCATGGCAAGTTTCAATCAGGCTGAAGTTCCGGGAGAAGGATGTATCAAACACGTGGTGAACACCTGAAAAATAATCGGGACATATGTAAAAAATAATTGCAAGCCAAGCATTATTAACTTAATTACCTCAATGGTTGAACTGAAATGTGTAACTTCACATAGTATTTGAGCTCCTTGTTATGTAATGTGAGTACTCAATAAGCTCAGTCCATGTCATTTGCACCTTCTCATAAATCGAGCTCAAGGAAGTATATAAAAATATGGATCGACAACCTCCTTATTACTGTGGGAGTGACGCTTCGGTGTAGGTTCTAATACTTGCTTGATAGCGATGCTCTAACATCTAACTGCCTCTCAAAGAAGCTATTCATATCTTAAGAGGAATTTATATACATGAACATCTCTGCAGGAAATCATACTCAAAACAAGGTCTTTGGCAAGATCCCTTTTGTGATGTACACAGAATATTTCGACACTGAACAGTAATCTGCAGTTCAGTTACATAATCATGATTTATATATATGTTAATACATCATTAAACACGTACCTATGCCTTTGAAGAAACCTGTGAGTTTTAGGGCAGTTTCTTGCATATTAAGTTTGTATCTAGCTGCCAGAGACGCTCTGGCCTGGGGGGCACACTGATACAACAATGGTCTTCACATCTTCCACATTGCCCTGAGAAAGAAATGCATACACCATGTACATACACTTATTGCCAATTAAACAGCCAATAAATACTAACTTACTTCTTAAACAGATTTAGACAGAAACTTTACACTCTATACATAATCAAAGTGTACAAGAATTAACGCTAAATTCCTGAAAAGTATGGCCGCTATATAGAAAGGGCTCCTCAAACCAACTGAGCCAATACAACCGAATGCTTATTGAAGTCAAATACTTCTGCTGAAATTCACCTGTTGCTGTAGTGCGTTGTTCTGCTGAAGTATACGGAACAGCTCTTCTTGGCTCTGTTGTGTAATGAGAACACTCTCTGCAGAAGTGATACAGCCACTGCAGGCCAGACAGTCATTGAGAGTTATCTTTGCTTTCTCTAGTTTCGTTTCTACACCATCCTTGAAATGAAAATGTGGAATGAATCAAGCCTCTTATTTATTTCTGATAATGGAATACTTCCAATCCTTTTCAAACATGGTAATGCCAAAAATACAATTTTCAAAGTACATAAAAGTTACAATAGAAATATTTAACTCCTAAACATTAATATTATGAAATAAATAATCCCAAGTATATTCAAGCACCTTTTCACATGTGAGAAATACACTGTAATGACTTAATGTGACCTGCATATTGTAATTATATGTAACACCAATTATACTAATACATAAACCTGCTTGAAAGTTTCACTTTCAAAGCTAAAATGACAACAATATGGATACAATTTACCATAGTCAGGGATAAATTATTTGATGAAAATATAATTTTCTGAATAAAAATGTAATTTTCTGAATAAAAATGTAATTTTCTGAATAAAATTGATATTTTATACTTATCCTGACTCATGTTCTTTTGCGTGTCTTCTTCTTCTTGCGAACATAGTGGAACACTTGTATCTCCTTAATTGAAGCTCCCTTCAATGTAAAATCACTAATTATAACGTTCTGTTAAAAAGTTAAGTACTGCGACATCTCTGTCTTGTGGATGTCTGTGCGAATGCCTTCGCTCAGGCTCGGTAATGACATATAGCGTTCTGTTGATAATATAAATACTGCAACGTTTCTGCGTTGTGTATGGCCTGTACGAATGCCTTCGCGTAGGCTTGTAGACAGCATGTGGCGTACAGTTGATAGACAAGTACTGCGATGTCTCTGCTTCGCTCGATAAATCGGCGAGGTGATCGACGTGGTGAATAGCCCGACGAACTGTGCTTGTAGGGTGACCTGTAGCTCCGCGAAGGTCCTAATGAATCCCTCGACGAACTATAGGACGAAGATGTCTTGTAAACTGTAACTGACATCCTTCGCGAAGGGCTTCGCAAAGGCTCATCTGAGTCCGTACTTGGGGAGTGATGACTGGTTCTCTGTGAACGCTTACGCGAACGCTTGTCGTCTGATTCTGTATCCGGGGATGGAAGAATTCTCCTTCGCGAATGTCTTCGCGAACGCTGAATCCGTATCTGTGAGTAGATCTACGATGTGAATGACGAAGAGATCAACGTGGAGACCGGCGAGGAGATCGACTCGGAAAAGGGCGTGACGGGCTGATAGCTTCGCGATGCTCTCGGTGAATCCCTCGATGACCTTCTAGACGAAGATACATTGGAGTCTGTAACTGGTGCCCTTCGCGAAGCTTCATCTGAGTCCGGTCCTGGGAAGTGACGACTTGACCTTCGCGAAGCTTCATCTGAGTCCGGTCCTGGGAAGTGACGATTTGACCTTCGCGAAGGCTGGGTCCAGGGATAAAGGATCTTCCTTTTGCGAACCTCTGACCTAGTTGTCCTTCGTGAAGGCCTTCGCGAGAGTCCCGTCCTGAATGACATCACTTGGCGGCGGCTTCTAGTGGTGAAGTGAGTTGTCCTTCGCTGAGGCTGGGTCCAGGGAAGGCCTTCGCTAATGCTGAACATCTGGGTCTGAACATCTGGGTGGAGGTGGGCTGTGACGACCTTTCGCCGAAGGTGGCTTCCCTCAACGATGGTTTCGTAGCAGTCGCGGCTGACAGGGGGTCCCTCTGATGTGACGTCTACGTTGGAGCCTTCGCGAAGGCTCGTGGCTGGTTGCCTCTCCAGACCGTAGCGGTCTTACATCATCTTCATAATCTGACGCATCAGGTCGTCTTGGACGATCTGTGATGAAGTAGTTGCTGCCCTATCTGTTGGTAGCGACGGGACCCTCAGGAAGATCATCGGACATCAGCGTTGGTACATCAGGCTGCATGTTGATCTGCGCAGACATCACTGTTGCCGACGTCGGTTATTCTTTTGATGTACATCAGGTATGATGATCGGCTGATCATCATACAGGCCCAAAACTGCGACGGGAACAATCTTGGCTGAGAAAGTCCTAGTAGACTTCGTTGATTTCCCCTCAGAGGTCGACGCTGCCCTGGGGGTGCGGAGTCTGCGTTGAGATGAAGTAGAAGCCCTCTAGTCTTCGGCTGCTTAAGCGACCGGGATGTCTGGGGAAGCAGGACGCTTCTTGGAGACGACGGACTACGCCCCGCCTCTCCACCACTCTAGCGGAACACCAGACGTGAGGGGGGTCGACCAACAGCAGTAGACTGGCGAGGGGTTCAGGTGTATCTGTCATGGCTAGACTCTGCTACGTGACCTATCTGCTGCGCGTCTCAAACGCAAAGTAAATATTTATTAAAGGCAGAATTGGATAAATTAGTACAGCAACTGCAACGTGAAGAAAATGAACATGGCGCAGTACAGCTAGGGCATATTAAATGCGGATCAGCAGCAGAAAAAACGTAACCTGCAAACAGTACAGATTTTCATCAACGTAATCCACTGAACAATCACGGCATCCCATGAATAAACAGTAGAAACACGAATAAATATCAATACATAACTGTTGAAGGAGTTTCGTTACTCTTGTGAATAACCAGGGGGCCGATGATATTCCAAATGGGAGTACTTTCCATTGATAATGCAGCCCGTCTAGTGTAAACCGTAGGTATTTCCTGGATTCGGGATGTGTAGATAAGCATCCTGCAGATCTATACTGGCCATGTAGTCAATGGGACGAACTAGGTGCCGGTAGATGTATCATGCTAAACGTTGGTGGTTTGCGTAGATAATCTCTGTTGAATGTGCTCATGTTGTAAATGAGTCTGTATTTCTCCTTGGAGTTTTTCTTGGGCACTAGGAAAACTGGGGAGTAGAAGCCTGGTTCGATGTTTACTTGATCTAGTACTTCTATGGCCTGCTTGGTTAGGAGAGATGTAACAGCCTCTCTTAACTTTGGTAGTTGTTGCGCCTGGAAGTCGAACTTGTGAGGGCTGACTGTCAGCGGAGGCGTGGCCTGTAGTTGGATTCGATATCCGTGTTGAAGAATGTTGGAGACATATGGGTCTTGTAACATTCCCCAGTTCTCCCAGTGCAGTTGAAGGCGTCCACCCACTTGTGACGGTTGTACTGGAACGGCTGGGGGTGGAAGACTCCAGTCGTTCCGAACCTGTCTTTCATCGTTTATAGTTGCGGGAACCTCTGGGTGCCCTGCCTCTTCCTGATCCTCCTCTGTAGTTGCCATATGGGCGACGAAAAGAATCTTTTCCTCTGGAGCTGGCCATCTTCCTATCCCGTGCTTTCTGTAATCCAGTGAATTTAGATTTCCCTGAATATCTCTGTGAAGTCTGCCTGATGACGCTGGCTAGCGTGTCCATCGACTTTATCATAAGGACTTCTCTAGAATCCTTGGTTACTTCTTTACAAACTTTCCTCCGTCGAATATGGATGGCGTAGACCACGGGGCTGTGTAGAGTGGAGCTGAAAACGGCTCACCCCAGCTGCAGGAAGCGAGGAGGCCTTGACGACGAGCCAGAGTTAGCGCTGCAGAGACGGATGTGAGATGATCCGTTAGAAACTGCTGGTCCTTCTGCATAAGTAGGGCCGAGTAGATCATTCTGTCATCCTCAGATGTCGAATCTCGAAATCTGGTGATAAGAGTCTCATTGATCGTTCTAGATCTATTAAGGCCGAAGAACATTCGCCTTGTCATGATTTCTATCTGAACCAGCTTGCGGTCGTCAATCTTATAGTTCTTATTCTTGACATCGTTGATTACTTTTTAGTTATCATCGATCTCTTGTGCCTTGAAAAAGGGGTCCATATTATGGGTTGAGAACTTCTTTGCGTTGAACTGTGGTAAGTGTGGCGCTTGGACTTTAGTGGCCTTATGGAAGGCTCTGTCCAGATTCTGTGGGACCGTAGCAATCGGGTCGATCGGAGGAAGGGTGATGGTGTCTGCATCGTCCTCCCTCATAAGGTAAGTGTGGGCCTCATTACCGTTCTTGGAAGGTGAAGATAGGTCCAGGTTGTTAACCATCCAATATCGTATTTCAGCGTCGGAGAAAATGATGCCTCCATCATCTTCTATAACGGGATCGCTGATAAGAGGTTGATGCTCTTCCGATGGTGACCTGTATGCTTCTACTGCTGTGCAGGGTGACGTTAATGGAGACCTGACTTGGGACTTCCGTGAAGACTTGTGCGGCGAACGGTGTGGTGACCTGCAAGGAGATCGATGTGGTGACCTGCGAGGAGATCGGCGAGGTGATCGGCATGGAGAACGGCAAGGAGATCGTCTTGGTGAACGGCCTGACGAGCTGCGTCTATATGGTGACCTTCGTGGAGATCTATGTGGTGAATGTTGATAGCTTCGCGAAGCTCTTGTGAAATCCCTCGATGACCTTCTAGATGAAGATGACTTGGAGCCTGTAACTTGTGCCCTTCGCGAAGCTTCATCTGAGTCCGGTGCTGGGGAGAGACGACTTGACCTTCACGAAGGCTTTCGTGAAGGTTGGGGGTCCGAGTCAGAGTCCGGGGATGAGATGATCTTCCTTCTCGCGCCTTTTCGCGAGTGTTGATCATCAGAGTCCGAGGTAGGTGACGATCTAGAAGCCCTTCGCGAAGGCCTTTACGAAGGCTGTACATCAGGGTCCTTCGCCGAGGTGGTCTGTGACTTCCTTCGCGGAGGTGGCTTTGAAGTGGCCGCTACGTTGACAGGGGGGTCCCTCTGGGGTTTCGTCTACGTTGGAGCCTTCGAAGGCTCAGGTTCTGGGCTGGTTGTCTCTCCAGTCTGTGTCGGTCCTCCATCATCTTCATGATCTGCCGCATCAGGTCGTCTGGGACGGTCTGTGAAGATGTAGTCGGTGCCCTCTCTGCGTTGGTAGTGACGGGGCCCTCAGGAAGATCGTCAGACATCAGCGTTGGTACATCAGGCTGCATGGAGATCTGCGCTGACGTCACTGTTGCCGACACCGGTCGTTTCTTGTGGCGTAGATCGGGTATGATGATCGGCTGTTAATACAGTAACTGCAACGTGAAGAATATGCACATGGCGTAGTACAGCTAGGGCATATTAAATGCGGATCAGCAGCAGAAAAACGTAAT